GCGTGATACTGATTAACTATATGAAATGATATAAATATATAGGCTACATTTCTGCCCCATATCTTGAATTTTGTGATCTTTCTAAATGCATTTTAGTAAACTGAATCATGCAGTGAAAGAACGCGTACTGGTCTAACCTACTAGACTTCCTATTGCCTTAGCTAAACTTTAGCTAACTTACATGGTAGCTGAGTCATGGATGTTAGCAAGACAAATTAACTATATTTGCCTATTCATTTATTAAAAAAAATAAAAAAATAAAAATACTCCCCAGAAAAAAGGGCACTTTCTCGAGGAAGAAAAAGGGCAGGTGCTCAAGCCCCCTTTGATGTCTATGTGTGCACGTGCCTGATCAGTAGCTTGAAAGAGGGTTTGTTGTGTGTGTGGTTTACCTCCATCAGACATGCTGCTGCCTTTCTCTTCCATTTCCTGTTTGACTTTTTCTAGCTCCTCGCTGATCTGAAGTAAAAATAAATACGCTTTATGAATGTTATTTGAATATTGTTTGGATATGTGAACATAGTACGGCTGTATACAGCATTATGAGATACATTCATTTATGAAAAACTACTGATGTTGTTATTTGCTACTGTGTGGAAACCAGAAGATGGTGAAATCATTGTAATAACAACACTGTGTTACTGTATTGTTGTTTTCAGACTCACCTCAGCCAGAATCCTGGTTCTCTCTGTGACGCCACCACTGGCTTGCTGATAAAGCTCCTTTACCTGAGGGAAAAAACACATGCAACATTTGACATCCTAATATTTTGACTGGTTTAAGGTTAGTAATAATGATTTAGGTTTTGATTGGTCGAGATGTACACCTTGTTGAGCTGTGCTTGTGCCTGGCGGTATTCTGAAATAAGATGCTCAAGCTGAGTGTTAAGATATTTCTCACGACTGCTCACTTTCTCCAGTGTTTTACTGATGTCTTCCCTCAGCTTAAACAGACAACCCTGAAAACATCCACACATATACATACTTAAATTGAATATTTCACATTATTATCCATTTTCTTTTTAAATATCTTGAAAAACATCAGTGATGGATTGATGGATGGTTGACCTTGGCGTCTTGCAAGGATGTGTTGATGCCGTCTTGATGTTGATGCATTTGATCAAGATGAATCCTCCAATCCTGAAACAAGTTAACCAGTATTTCAGTCAATCAGAGCTTCTCCATCACCATAGAGGTGACATACTATGATTTAAGGTTGACGTATTTGAGACCTTGTTGTCAGTTCGAATGGTGACTTTAAGGTGTGGAAGAACTCGCTCCATCTCCAAATTCCACTCAGCGGCATCAACATCTGACTCCAGAACCACCGCAGGCCTCGATCCACTGAGTTCCTAAACACACACATCTGCCAGTTGTCTTTTACTGTACATACAGGGTAAAATGTTGTTTACTAGTTCTTTGTTTAAAATATTAATAAACGTCCCTCCTAACTAAGTATAAAAAGACTGTGGGCTCTTCATGATTTATAGCACAGACACAAATATCACCTCACATATAAAACAACTCACTATCTCCAGAGAAAGTAAGTAATTACTCCTTTCAGGTTTATATCATGTTATTATATGTATCACATGCTCTTATGTCAAATAAAACTCACACTCTGATTGGTTCTGGTCTTCAACGCGTCTAAATCAAGGCCATCCTCTTCCTCATACTCCTCATCCTCCTGCTGAAGATGCACATTCATTCACTTTACACACGAGTCTGTGTGTGTGATTCACTGTCATGTCTTCAGTCACTTTACTATGTGAATAAGAGGTGGGCGATATAAGCAAACATTTATATTATGATATTCTAGATTTTAGTTAAAATATATCACAATATAGTACAATATTTTTTTTTTTACATATATTTGCTTTTGATGTAGAACAATATCCAAAGTAAAAGTAAGGTATCTCATTTGAAGAATATAGTTTTTTTTTTCAGTCACATAAATTGTGATGAAATACCTTAAAACAATCTAAAATCTTAAAACAATGATAAAAAAAAATTTATTTATCTGCCTGCCATTGATTTTTATGCAAACCAAAAATTCTAACATTTTTTTGCTTACTCCATAAATAATGTATTGTTTTGATTTGTCTTCTATGGAGAAGTTTTTATTATGTTTTTAAATTGATTATTATATTGTATAAATATATATTTATATTTAAACCGTTATATATCCAGTACATAACGAGCACATCTGTACATAAGTCTTCTGCTTACTCCATTGAGATGTATAAAGTTTTTATTTTACTTCTACTTACTTTTCCTTTCTATCCTCTTGTTTTATATGTATGTATATAATTACTCCGAACTCCTGGAAATCATAACAAATTCCTTTTATATTTGTGCACACTTGGCAAATTTGGACTTTTGCTTGAAGCAGATCTAATCAAAATATATAAATACACTGTTAATCCAAATATAATTGAATAAATCCTGAGCTAATTTCCTCACAACCGTGAAAAACACTTCTAATATAAAAGCTTGACAGATAGCAGCAGTAACTCAGGAAGGTGAAGCTTAGAATAGTGTTTGCGTTTGACTCACTGTCATTTCTTCCTCCACTTTACTGAGTGTGAGCTCAGCATCATCTTCCTGCACACACTCCTCTTCCACCTCCACAGACGGGTAGAGAGGCCTGATAGAGAGAGAATACCAGCTGCGTTAGTGTGTATATAGTGGGAAGAGAAAGTTTGTGAACCCTCTTGAATTTTGTAGTTCTACAACAAGGTTATATGAGACCTAAAGCAGCACAGAATAATATAATATAATATAATATAATATAATATAATATAATATAATATAATATAATATAATATCAATCAAAAGTCGACACTATCAAAGTTAGAACTAGATACCTGTCATTTCCCTTGTTACCTAAAATGAAAGAAGTACACTTCAAAACAGCAATCTCAGGAACTACTTCCCCCCCCCAATTGTACTACTGTTAAATCCTTTTGGGACAGATTGTATGTAATTTATTGTAAATTAATTATTATTTATTGTTTTGTAATTTATTCCTGTGATGTCAAAGCTGAATTTACAGCAGTAGGGTTTCCAGAATTCAAAGGAACAGCATTTATTTGAAATACAATTTTTTTTTTGTAACAATGTAAACGTAACTGTCACTTTTAATAAATTTAATGCATCATTGCTGAATAAAAGATTTCTAAAATTTAATTTTAAAAAATGTTCTCACCCCCAAACCTTTGAACAGTTGTTTATATTACATACTATCATTTATTTTCACATATATTTTCGTAATTTTTTTTAATATCAGGAAAACTATGTGAGTGAAAAGCTGAATTGAAAAATGAGCATGCATTATAGTGTTCGGTTGTCTTTAGGTAAACTGCATGCTAGTGTGCTCCTCATGTTAGGTTGCTATGTGCTGGGCAGAGCCGCTCAGCTGTTGAGATTAATTTCAAGAGATCTTTTTTTGGCTGATGGGTCAGTCTTTCTTTCACTCTGCCAGTCTCTGTCTCTATGATGTTGGCGTTTGTATGAACACAAATGTTTGGAGATTCAAATGTAATTGAGGTTCAGTCCCCAGCTTAACTACCAGTGTTTGGACAAAGTCATCTGCTCCTTACATGGTAATTAAGACACAATGCAGAGTAAAAGGACACATTATAGCATATGTTTTCACGTTTTAATACATTTCACATGTAGCTTATGGTAACAGAAATGATACAAACACATCTAGTGCTTTACTGTTAATTAATTTGGCAACCCAACACACATACTCATACACACACATTTCGGAGCACATTTTTAATGAAAAAAATCCCCTCTTTTTTCCACTTACTCATTAACTACTTTCTATATCTGCATTATATATGCTTTTTTCCTTCCACTTCTCCACAGTTCCTGTGGTGAATTGCTGTTTTCAGTCCTCTTGGATACGGGTCGCTCCCTCCTCTGATACTGGACCTTCCTTCTTGTTCTCGCTGACCACCTCTGTGTAGGTCACATCTGGGCTACATTTCCTGCCTTTAGGAGGAGTCACAGCAGGCTCCGCCTCCGCGACCTCTTGGCCCTCAGCGACTGTGCGTTCCTTCTTCAGTTTGATTTTGAACGATTCTTTATTGGGTGCTTTCTTAGCTATGTTTTCCTTCAGCCTCTCACTGCCCTGATGGATCTTCTCTCGCTGCTCAGGGGGCACGATCTTCTCACCCAAGGTGTTGATTTTGGTTCCGAGCGTTTGGCCCGTCTTACTAAGGCTGTCCTTGGTCTTGCTGAGGTTTTCCCGCGTCTTCTCACGGGTCTTGTTCATTTTCTCTTTGGAGAATGCAGCTTTGATGTTCTCGATGCCTTTTAACCCGCTCTGTTTCAGACGGGCACCCCGTGATGACTCTGCCTCCTCAACCACCATGTACTCTTCATCAGATGATAGGTCAGCAGGGATTTCATACTCATCTGGCTCCACCTCCAGGTTAGCAAGCCCTGCCCCCTTGGGAGTCTTGGTGACAGCAACAGAGGGAACTTCAGTTTCACCCTGCAGTCAAACACAGAAAAGAGAGACCATTATTTAGCAGGAAAACACACTCTGACTTCACCTAGAAGGTCATGAGAAGAACTCTGTGCTGTTTGTGTGTATATAAAACTGTATATGCAGTAACATTCATAAGGAAATTGCAGTTAACAGCTTTGCTGGAGGCCTGGATTTTTGATGCTTTCTTGCAACCCACCTAGATGCAAGAATCATGGAGCTGATTATCACACATTAATTTTCTTATCAACATATTTAGACTTAATTATTTATTTCAATTAAAATTTCTATTTAGATTTATTTTTCTTTCTTTTTTTTAACATTGACATAAATGTGCTCCTACATTTCAGGTGCCGAGTGATGGTATAAAATCTTGGTCCAGTTACAAAATACATCTCAAATACTTAATTGTCTTCAACTGTTTTTGCCCATACAGTGAAAGTCAGTGGAGTCCCAAACAACATTTGACCCCAATGACTTTCATTGTATGGACAAAATGAGGCAATCTTCAGATCAAAATGTCTTCGTTTGTGTTCCACAGAAATGAAGGTGAGTAAATAATGACATAATTTTCTTTTTTGTCTGAATTATCCCTTTAAAGGGTTAGTTCACCCAAAAATGAAAATTCTGTCATTAATTACTCACCCTCGTGTTGTTCGAAACCCGCAAGACCTTCGTTCATCTTCGGAACACAATTTAAGATATTTTTGATGAAATATGAGGGCTCTCTGACCCTCACGTAGACAGCAAGGTAACTACCACGTTCAAGGTCCAGAAAAGTACTAAGATGATCGACAAAGTAGTCCGTGTGACATCAGTGGTTCAACTGTAAAGTTACGAAGCTACGAGAATACTTTTTTGCGCAAAGAAAACTAAAATAACGACTTTATTCCAGATTTTTGTCTCTACTGCGTCACTTGTGGACGCGTGTTAACGACAGTATCATGACGCGATTAAATTGTGTTCCGAAGATGAACGAAGGTCTTACGGGTTTGGAACAACACGAGGGTGAGTAATTAATGACAGAATTTTCATTTTTGGGTGAACTAACCCTTTAAATACAGTTTACCCATATATTTTCAGCTGTTACATTTCATCAAGCTGTTACTGTTTCATTCAGCTGTTACTTTTCATCAAGGTTCGCCATGATGCATATAAGATGATATGTCCAATGTTACATTGCACGAAAAAGTTGAAAACTGGTTAAAATCAACAGTTCCAATTTAAAAGTAGGTTTTTGTCAGTCCATCTGAAGGTTTGTGAAGTAAAATCTTTAAAAGTTATTCAGATATCAACCATATTCTGTTTTTTATTTTATTTTTATTTATTTATTTTTTAAATGTCTACAATAATCTGTACTTTTACATTTAGGTGCACAGAAATTCTGATCACATACATTTTCCAATAATTTTAAGTTTTTGTGTTTTTAGTTAAATTTTGAGTGCTGATCTACTATTGTGATATCATCAATTTCACAGTTACAGTATGTTTACATAACTTCAAAACAAAACATACTGTGGTTGGTCACTTTATAAGTCAGTTAGACAGTCTCTTCCTGTTTAAGTGGGCAGTTCTTGGCCTTAACAAGCAAAGGAGACTAGGTTTTATGTCAGTCTAAAGCCTGGTTACATGAGATGACCCTTCCCTGGAGGGAATTCTTGTAGTCTGTAAGAATGGATATCTATGTATGTGTATGTATAATCTCCCTATTCAGGGAATAGCCTTAAAGAGTCTATTCAGCTGTGTGTGCAGCTCTATATTAGGAAACCTCAGAATAACCACATTCAAACACACCCGCTTATACTGACACACACACTCTAACAGCCTAATTTTTATTTTATTATGTCACACGTATTCTCTAAATATTAATTCTGTATATTGAAATATTGCACAGCACAGTGAGGAGTCAAACAGAAAAATTTGCCAGCATTTGTGCATTGCTACTTAGAAGAATTTAACTGAATCATCATTTGTGTCACTTGCAAACCATATAATCAGGATTGGGGCACCAAATGTCATCTGGTGAAAATTTAACAAAAATGTAATAGATCATTGACAAAACCACATTAGACAACTACTAATCTGTGATACTCAATATCTGTGGTTAAAGTGATAGTCCCCTCAAAAATGAAAATTATGTCATCTTTACTCACCCTCATGTCTCTCCAAACCTGATATTTTTGGTTTGGAACACAAACGAAGAAATTTTGAAGGTAACCAGAATTTTGGGTCCCACTGACTTCAATAGCCATTTTTTGTTCATACTATGGAAATCAATGGAACCTGAAACTGTTTGGTTACCAACATTCTACAAAATATCTTCTTTTGTGTTCCAGGGAGGGAAAAAAACAACATGAAGGTCAGTAAATGATGACAGAATTTTCATTTTTGGGTGAACTATCCCTTTAAGGCCCAGTGTCACTCTCTGTTTCTCTCTTTCTGGAAGTCTCTTGAATGGACAAATCAAAAATATCTTTATGTCACTCATCAGACATACTAACAGAATTACTTAGCCAATCATCTCTAAAAAGGAAATTCTCAAGTGTGCTATTGCTATGTGTGAGATTACAGTGCCAACTTGCTGTTAAATGGCAAAAGGATTGAGCCACACCCTCAATCACCCATAACACACATGCAGCGGTTGTTAGGAATGTGTTTACCTGATAGATAACAACCCTGAACTTGTTGCGGGTGAGCAGCTCATCTTGTGTAGTTTCCACTTTCTTCACACGCACATTCTGTTTCTCCACACGTGAGCGTACTTCTTTAACGTGCGCACTCACACGGCGGGCTTTCTGCAGCAGTTTGTCAACGGTTGTGGCCGTGGCGCCATGGTCACGAGCTAGTTTGAGAAGCTCGGATTGGACGGCGCTCACTGAGCTTTCGAGCTGCTGCTGACGCTCCTCCATGCGCTGCTGGCTGGCCTGGACGCCATCGATGATCGTAGACACGCGTTCCAGCAGAGAGAGAATCGACAAGGCCGAGACAGGCTGCCCGGATTCATCCTCGACCCCCAGCATTACATCTCCTCTCTTTTCCATCTCCGATTCTCCCTTTCACACGTCCCTGAAAGTAAAGCCACTGGGCCAGAGATGGATAAAGGGCCAGACGGAATCAAACACACAGTACAGAGAGAAAGTGACACTCCAAGAGAGAGACCCCAGTGGAATCTGACAAACTCCACCCTGTTCACACACACAGATATAAATGCATGGATATAAATACAACTGTAAGAGGATACTAAGACATTTTTGGAAGTTGTATCACAGAAGCACTGGAAAGCCCCATTAATTCAAACATTCCCGTATTGTGTGCATGTGTTAGGGAAGCTTGTGGATATGCATAATGTGTTGCTCTCTCAGCTTTGAAATAGCTAAAATGACAGTGACATTAATCTAGAGCGCAAATGTGTGTGTTTGTGTGATGAGGTGGACTTGCTTTTATAAATCCACCCCCCTTTGGCATACTGTCAACTCAACTGAAGCCAACAGCTGTGGAACGCACACACACAGTGTAAACTGACCTTGGAGGTGTTTGGCATTGGTGTTTTGACCTCTGACCTCACATTCAGGCAACCTGACATTCGAAAACTACATCTCCCAGCATGCACTTTGAGCCTCTGAAGAAAATAGACTGACTAGTACATTAGAAATAAAAATACCCAGAAGATAAAGAAAAACACTAAAACGATTAAGTTTTCCTTTAAAGGGGTCCTATTATGCTCTTTTACAATGTCTTGATTTTGTTTTGGGGGTGTACTAGAACATGCTCTCATGCTTGGTGGTTCGAAAAACGCATTATTTTTTTTACAAAATTTACATTATTACAATACCTTTCTCCCCAGTCTGGCACAAACGGCTCGATTAGTTCCGGGTTTGATGAACGCCCGCCTTCTGAAAAACAAAATGTGTAAAATAAAAATACGAATTCGAATTTCCGTAGGCGGGAATTATTTTAATGATATTCTAATGGGCCGCTTTGTTATATCACAAAACCCCGAAAACAAACGATGTAGTCCAAACGAGCCGTTCGTTGTAGTTCTTGAAAAGGGATTTTTTTTTAAACGAAATATCTCCCTTTGGAGTGGACTTTGAGATTTGTAAGTTTGAAGATCTTTTTTTATGCCCAAACATACACACTACACACTGACTAAAATTCAAAAAGTGAAAAAGCATAATAGGACCCCTTTAAACTCACCTTATAAATGTTTACAGATTTGACATGCAAAATTATACAGACCTTCTCATAATAGCAAGTGATCAAATCACTTTATTTACAAACTGACTTTATAAGACAATGCACAGAATAAAGATAAATGCA